TCCGTGGATGCGTAGCATCCCCTCTTCTTTTAACAACAGGCTATGGACGTCTGGGAGCTAAAGAAACCAGCTGATGGACTGTTGGGAGAGGAATGTTGTCCTGTTCTTGTCTGATTTAGGATTCTAGCTACTCAACAGTCCTGTGTCTGCTTTTTCATTTCATGATGCATCAAATGTTTTCAGCTGGTGAAAGGTCTGGGCTGCGGGCAGGCCAGTCGGGCACAGAGGCCACTATGAAGCCATGCTGCTGTAATAATTGCAGTATGTGGTTTTGCTGAAATATGCAAGACCTTCCCTGAAAAAGACGTAGTGAGGGTGGGAGAATGTAATTCTTTAAAATTTGTATGTACCTTTCAGCACTGATGGTGCCCTTCCAGATGCACGAGCTGCCAATTCCATTGGAGCAAATGCTACTCAGTACCATCACAGATCCAGGTTTTTGAACTGAGTGTTGATCTCAAGCCGGGTGGTCCCTCTCTTAGCCAGAAGAGAGAGGGTCAATGTTTTCCAAAAATAATTTCCAATTTCAATTCGTCTGACTACAGAACAGTTTTCCACTTTACCTCAGTCCATTTTAAATGAGCTTTGGCCCGAAGAAGACAGCGGTGTTTCTGGTTCACATATGGCTTCTTCATCGCGTGATAGAGCTCTAACCTACATTTGGTCATAGTACGGTGAACTGTGTTGAAAGACAATAACTTCTGGAAGTTTTTTGAGCCCATGCAATGATTTACATGACAGAGTCATGTCTGGTGTTAATGCAGTATTGCCTCAAGGCCTGAAGATTTTTGGTCTTTTCCCTTGCGCACAGAGATTTCTCCAAATTTTCTGAATCTTTTGACGATATTATTTATTTTGAGCAACTCTTGTCTCTCTAAGATGCTGTTTTTATATTCAGTCTGTTGCCAGTGAACATAATTAGTTCTAAAACATTAGTCAAGCTGTTTCTTTTTACTACCCCTTCCTTTTCCAGCCTTTTGTTGCCCCCGGCACTTTTTTTGACGTATGCTGTTGCCATCAAATTCAAAATGAGCTGACATGTGTTTTAAATGGTGCATTTTCTCAGTGTAGACATTTTATATGTTTAGTATGTTCTAGTGTCAGTGGGTTTATGAGATTTGCAAAATCATTACATTCTGTTTAGTGTAATGGTATGCATAAGGAGCAGCCAGCAGGGAAGATCTTTAGTGGGTGGAGACCCTGGTAGTAGCTCTCTGCTTGACATCAGGTGCCAAACCAAATTCTATGCCAATGTTATATGGATTCAGAAATTCCATATCCATTCCTCATTGCATGGATCATAATGCCGATGGGTCCCTGCATAAGATTGAGCAGGATTTATAGAAAGGTTAAGCTGATTCCTGGTCTGCGCCTCGGGGTGAGGGCTTTTACGAATTTAAAGTGGATGACAGGCGATTTTCTGCTACTTTGGCCGAACAATAAAGCCAAAAAATTTCTTGGCAAGCATGTGTGGTAGGAGTTACAGCAAGTTAGTCATAGCCACCCAGTACAGCAGAGAATGGGAGTAGTATTAACTGCAGCAGATGCTCATATTCACTATGAGATTTTTAAATGTTTATTTACACAGTTAATGACAACAAACTCCACTTGACAGCAATTACCAGTAAAATCCCGCCTTTATTGTTAGCAACATTCATTATGTGTCACCATATAATTTACAATAACCGTGTGATTGAAAACAATAATAAGTGAATCTCCTCGTTCAGAGTTCTGCACTGGTGAAGCGAGAAGCATACAGCCGGTTAAGGACTAACACGCAAAATCTCAGGTTCTATGTTTTATTGCGACACCAACATTTCTTTAACCCAAGAGCCTTTTACATCATGCGAGTCATTTAACAGCTTCACATTTTTCATGTGTTCATTGGTTGTGTGGTTCACTATATTCTGGACAATCTACACAAAGAGCTTATTTTAAAGCAGAATGCATGATTGTCTGGGTTTTTTTATTATTAGTTTGCTTATAGGAGGTAATATTTTATTTACCCACTGATGCTGGACTTTGGATTTTTTTCCCCAAAGAATTGTTGTAAGATGTGTTTTTATGTGCATGTGAGGAAAATGGGTGTCTCTTCATGCATCACAGCTCATCTCACCGATGACGCTGCTCTCATACAGTGCCTTCTTCTGTTTGCATCAGTACGTGTGTGAACTATCATCCTCTTATCTATGGCTGATTGAGTCTTTACACCCCTCCCAACCCCCTGGCTGTGTGTCTGTATTTGTGTGTGTGTGAGCTGTTGGCGATCCCTCGTTGGGATGGCGAACCTGGTGACCTCCCTGCTCCATGCCTCCCAGAAACAAGGGCTTCTCATGTGGCTGCTAGCCAGTTGCACTGAAAGCCCACCATTCACGACTAGCCATCCCTTCTATGAGTTTGTCTCGGCATGTGTGCGAAGGAGAGGGGGAACAGATGGATAATTTTTGAAATTACAGTTTGAGCAATTGCTTGTATGCATGTGTGAGCAAGCATGTATATCAGCAAGAATCTGTGTGCATATGGTATACACTTTATAGACACTTAAAATAAGAAATTATAAAACTGCAACTGTACAGATGGAGAAGATGTTTGTGTAGAGAAGCACTGAATCCTAGGACTTTATGTTCAGAGGATAGCTTGGCTTAAACATTCAAAATTGTATGGCATAGACTGTATGTAAATGATAGTCCCTTTAGCTTTGTAGCTGCCACTCTAGCAATGAAAACATTTACATGGCAGGCTGGGATTATTAGCTGTCAGCTAATGCCAGCAACTTTGGTCAGCATACTGAATCTGTAGACCAGGGATGAGAAAGTCATTTTTAAGTGGGCCAGACCTGTGAAAGTCTCCTTTCTGTCAGTGTAAACAAGTTTAATTAATCCCCAAGATATCTTAATAAAAGAAAAAGAAGTGCAATTTTAATAAAACATCTCAGTCTTTCTACGTGATAAAGAAATGCTGCTCCTGAGAAAAGGAAAGAAATCTGTGAGCACAACTCTTTGGGCTTAAATTCTAAGACGTGAATGTGGACAATTACAGAAAGAAGTAGTAGTTCTGGTAGCTTATTGGCCAGACTGCCCTGTAATATAAACCTGAAAGTTTTTATTAATTAACAGAAACAGTCTTTTTTCAGCACTTTCTATACTAGATAGTGTAAAACCAGGAACTTTCTGTCATTTAATTGTTTATTAATTAATCACTTTATTGTAGCCATGGCCATGCTGGAGTTCTGTCACTTAAACGTAGATTTTCCCGAGCCGTTCTGTGGGTCAGATTGGTTTCTTTGCCGGGCTGATTCTGGCCCCTGGACCTTATGTTTGACATCCCTCACATAGACTGCATGGGTGACACAGATTTTTGCCAATTAATGCAAAATAACATACTGATAAACTGCCAGAATTTCACTCACTCAAACCCAAACGTGAGTAGGAAACAGTAGAATTAAAAATACTCCAGAACACATGTCGAACTCTAAAATTAAGCGTTTATCATAAAATGGGGGTGTACTGAGGTTTCTCACAGATGTCATGTGGATGACAGTTAGACATAATAGACGTGATACAGCCATCGGTTACTAGTGAAAAATATGTATTCCCTGACTGGATAGCAGTGGTTCCTGGAGGTTGCCTGCTCTCGGTGGGGGAAATCAGATTCAAAGAGGGCAATGTACCAAAAACTTCTTAGCGATTGCTTTGGTTGTTTGCAGATTACTAAAGTTACTATAGTTTTTCACATATGTCTGCAAATAGTTGCTAACTACTAGCCGAGCAGTAGTACAATTTGGTAAAGTGCAATAAAAAAAGTGTTGCTAGAGTAAAAGCTGTGCCTCAGCGCAGCAGCCAGCTTGTTTCATAAGGTGCAACTTGGACTTTGAGGGCGAATGGTCTCCATTTATGCTTTCAGTACAGCTCAGAGTGTAGCTCGCCAACGTTTGTGGACAAGTCCATCACTTCCATTCAATCTATGACTGTAGTAATATGATAAAGACCAAACAACCTCAGGGTTTGGAGTGGGTGTGCAGGGTTTATCATAACTGATTTCAGCTCCGACAGCTTTCATACCCGGCCGCAGAGTCAGCGCAGAGTCAGCGCTCTTGATAAGTTTGTCTACACCTTCTTCCCAGTAGGCCACAGCAAAAAAACAAAAAAACAAAAAAAAAAACAGAGCAATGGCCACCACTGTATGGTGAACAGCAGGAGTTTACAGCTGTTGAATTACCTTAGTCTCCTTAGGACAGAAACTCTTTGTCCCTTACTGTACACCACCTGCCTGTGACCAGTCCAAGTTGCTATTGAGCTGCACACCAGGGAATTTAGAAAATGAACTGAAGCCGCAAAAACTGTCTGGACCACAATAGAATTCCTAATTCATTTAGTCAAAAGAATGTGATTTTTTATTTAGGAAGTTATTGTTAAGGATTTGAACTCATAAATATAACAATGGGCTTCATGGAGGTGTCCAGTTCCTGAGTCAGAATGAGAGTTAGAAGAAGAGTCATGCCCACAGCCCCCAGTCTGGGTCCAGAGGTCAGTGTTTTTAGAGGAGGGAGGAGATAAATGCAGTGGGTACAGCTGAACTTAAAGACCTTCAGGGTTTGGTCTCAAAGGTCTACGGTGTCTGAAGGTGCACGGTCACAGCGGTGGGGGTGATGTGACGGAGCGAAAGAGTGGCTGAGGGGTGGAAAGAAGTCAGGGTAGTGGTGGGGGTGACCATCTGGATTGGATTGTAGACATTCCTCAGGATGAGTGTTCGTAAAGGTCGAAGAAAAAAAAGAAGAGGGGTCACTGGGCCCTCAGTGTGTGTGTGTGTGTGTGTGTGTGTGTCTGTGTGTTTATTATTCTTTGGCTCACTCGGTGTTTCAGTTTATGATTGTGGTCGGTTCGGCAATGTTTAAGGTATTTCTTCCCCAGTGGGATCGTGGAAAGGGAGATACTTTCAACAACATTTACGTGCGCAGGACTGCAGGTGTATATTAACGCCGAGCTTGCACGCACTTGCAGGAGGGAGGTCTGCGATCATGCTGTCGCTGGACGAGCCTCTGGACCTGAAGCTTCCTCGGAGGGCCAACGGGAAGGACAGAGGGGCGCGCAATCCTCCTCTCTCACCGCTGCACCCCAAACATGCTCGCCAGCTCCACATGGCAGATGATGGGACAGCAGTCATAGAGCCTGCCTCACCAGCATCTCCACACACAGGTGAGTAATAACAAACCACAACACAACTGTTTCTATGTTTAAGTGGACACACTGAGGCTAGTGTCCCTGTGTTGTGTTTTCATAGGCATGCAGGTAGTCCCTCATGATCGAACAGACACTCCCACCCCCCCTGCAGTGGACCTGAGCATGTCTCCATCCTCCCGCCACACCCCAAGCTCTCCAGAAATGACCAACGGAAACTACATCCCTTCAGGAGTGAGTATATCAGAGCTCAAATTCTCTCACACACACACACACACACACACACACACACACACACACACACACACACACACACACACACACACACACACACACACACACAAAGCTGTGTAAA